GTCTGAAATATTTTTGAAGCTTATGGTGTGCTGCATTCTTCTTGTTGCAAACTGAGGATGGCAGGAACATCCTCATGAAGGGCAGTGGTTATTCTTTAACAGTTTTAGGAACACACCTACACACAAAAATGATGTTTTGTCCCAAAAGACCAAGTGAGCCATGGAGAAGCCTTTTTGAGGTCAGGTACAATTGGCCAAAAGTTGAAACCAGCAGTATGTGTAACTGCTGGGCTTTACAGCAAGATATATGGCTCATGTTTTAACCTGTGCTTCGTTTTATTATTACTGTACACACTTTTACCTTGAGTTGTGTGGTCTTGGGGATCATCCTCTGTGTGCAATGTCATGTATTGCATTTGTTGTTCTAACTAAAGGTAAACACCTTTATAGCACTCACTAATTGGTTTGGGAATATTTGTGAAAGTGTTGATTTTTAAAGCTAAATATAGTGCTATGGCTTTTTAAACTCATTCTGGCTGTCAGAAGTGCTCACGTGATCCTGAAAGTGTTGCTAAAAATGTTCAATTTTTAAATATGGTAATTAAAATTGTCTGTTGTGAGAGCAGTCGATGAGACATTTCCTGCATTTGTAAACTAAGCATCCCTTTCACCCCCAGGTTTCCTTGCATCCCACTGTTTATGTTATGAACTCTCACTGAACCTTCTTGGGAGAAGGTTTACTGTTGGCCAGGTAGGGCGAGTGAGCTCTGCAGCCTGACACCCTGCTCCGTGACCTTCTGCTCTTCCCTTTGGATACTCTTCTTTGTTTTAAAAAGTTGATGCCCTCAGGGAATACAATGGTGTAAACTGGAACTTCAGACATACATTTTCACTTCTAACTTTGTTGTTAAAAGAAAGTCTCAGATAAAGATACTTCCTGTTGGGTATACCAGACTGCTTCACTCCTAATTTGAGTATATATCATGTGTATTTCTTCTATTAATAGATTGTATTTATTTCTTTTAAGTTTATACTTAGTGTTTGATAACCATTTTATATTCCAAGTGTATCTTGCATTCAGACTTTTCTCCTGTTCTTTACTTAAACTCCATGTTCTCTAAATTTATCTAATTTTGAGACTTGTCTCATGTTGGTTATTAAATAATATTTTTTTTTCCAAATAAGAGGATTTTTTTTTCTACATAGCTTTTTTAAAAGTGACATATTGTCAATTATATACTACTCAAATTCCTACTTCTTTTCTTAAGAAGTAATTGTATTCTGAGCCTACCTGGCAGATTTGAGGTGATTTAGGTGGGGCCCTTCTGTGGCCTTCTTTGACCATTTTCAGTCAATTCTATCTTTCCCTCTCTCTTTCCCTAGCCAGAAATGGATACTTTCATGTCTCTGTTCAAAAGTGCCACTATTTGCTTTTCCCCTCAGATGCTTTGTGGTTTTTATGAAGTGGGCATTTTCCAAAATTAAAGGAAAAACCCAGGGAATTTGTCATACTCCCTAAGCTCAGTAAGACCATGACTGATTGCAGCATTTCTTGCTGAGGGTAATACAGGTCCATGCTGCCTGCTGAATTGAGAAGGCTGCACGTTCACAAAGTAGAAAATGCTACCAGTATGTGCTCTGTCACTCTTTCTGCTGTCACATGGACATGTTCACCTAACTTGAGAGCTGTCACATAATGAATGTGAGACTCTTTCTAGCGTTTGGGTTGCAGTTGTTTGCAAAGGGCTATTATTTAATAGAATCCCTCTCTTCTGCTTCAGTCCTAATTTGAAGAACCTGTACTAAGAAGACTTGCTTAATTCAAATTATCCATATGTAAATAAATTAACCTTCCACTGCTCTTAGATGCATATGCTTTCTTGGCTTTTGTTTTTACCACACTGTTTTGCATTTTATTCCTCTGTCCTAAGTGAAATTCTGCCACTGTAAAGCGCTTACATTGTCAACTGAATTTGAGTCGAACTTTGGTAGCCGGTGTCATTAATTCTGCCACTATTGAAAAGCTGACAATCAGACCTCAAAATATGAACAAGAGATCGAACATTTCTGTGTGTATTGGACAGTTGTCTTTTGATAGTTTCTTCACTTGTACATTTTTGGTTTCTTATCAAGTTGGTTCATCAGATGATGTGTTAAAATTTTCTGTTCCTCTAATGAAATGCTGAGGTATGAAAGGAATTTGTCTATTTGTAGTGACTTATGTGACTGAAACTCTAATGTCATTCTCAGAGAGCTCAGTTATAATGCCAGTGTTATGATTCATGTTTCCTTGATCAGTTAAGCCTTAAAATATATCTGGCCTTGTGTTTACTGACTTGAGCATGTGATAATCTGTGGTACGTGTGAGCACTATATGCCTTCAAATCAAAACAGGCGGTGGTGTGCAGGATGGGGGCTCTGATACTGAAATTTTCCCTGTCTCATTTCTGAAGTTCTTCAACACACTTCTGTCCAGCTCAGGAGAGGTCAAGTTTTCTTTAGAAGCTTTTACCCTTAAATTTAAAATACAAATAAACAACTGCCCCCCCACTATAATAAGCAAACAAACCAACCCCAAAAATGCAAACAAAAGAAGTAAAAAAAACAAGCTGTAATTGTGGATATGGACTCCAAGCTTTATCCTCTGATTCCTTATGTTTTATCTTGTGGAGAGATTAAAATGCATGTGACTGTCAGGTGCCTTGCAGGGCTGGACCATTATTTTCTGGTACAGGAATGAACATGCCTTGAAACCTTTGTGTCATGTTTATAAATCTGTTCTTCAAAACCTCTTCTGAAGGTCTGTCATCCCTGGTATCTATAATAATCCTCTTATCCAGCTTCAAGATACTTTCTTCTGGTCTGACCTTTAGCAGAAAAGAAAGCTCTTAGTTGCCATCTTTCTGTAACCACCTCTTACTTATCTTGGGGTGGAACTGTGCTCTTAGCAATGTTGTCCTGGGTCACTAAGCAGATCAAAGTATGAGGTTATACTTTTTCATCAAAAAACCATTCCTTGTGGTTAAAAATCTGTGACTCAGTCAACAGAAACAAGAGATGAGATTGTGTTCTGAACATCAGTATTTTTCCTTACCGTGAAATCTGCTTCTCAGGAAGTGGAGGCAGAGGACAAGCATAGATGTAATCTCACTGCAGTAAGAGCAATAGTAACCAAAAGCCCAGAAACAGAGAAATAACATAGTTTATGCAGGCTTGTGTAGACTGCAAAGGAGGCTCCGGGTAGCAAAAAGTTCTGAGTTCCTGACTATCATATTCTCTGTCTTGCACTGTGTTGCAGCTGGTGTCTGAAAGAAAAGAGTCCAATTAATTCACAACCCTAAATCCCCTCATAACTTGGCTATCTTCAGCTTTCCAAAAAGCAGAGCCTTTGTAGCACCAGCATTTCCTGTGGTTAACTGAAGGAGGTTAACTTTGTTGGGAACATTATTGTTAAGAGGTTTGTCTGCTTCCAGCATATGTTGCTACCAAAACACTTTTTTTTTAAAGCTTTTGTCAAGATGAAGTCAACATATGAAGGCTGTGTGTCAGATTTCGGTTGGTAATGCACTGCTTGAGGTTGAATTCTTGACGTGCAAGCTTAGTATGGAATATATTTCATATAGCAAGAATTGTTCCTTGGCTTGTGAAGAGTGATTGGAAGTTACTCAATACACAGTTTTTAAAAATGGTTCTTCTACTAGTGGCAATAGTTCACTTTGAGCTGTATTGGTCTTGCAGTTGAAGCCAAACATGTTGGCTTCTGCTCTAATACACACACAAAGAGCATCTCTGCTCCTCCCTCACCATATAAGATTATAAAATCAGCATGTGAACTAAAAGGGGATCCAGCTTGATTTTTATTTTTTAAGGGTTTGCTTACAAGGTTGCTCTTGGTTCTATTTTGGAATGCAAGGCAACCCACACTTTCCCCCAGCTCTCATGATACTTACAAGCTAAAAATAAGTTCTACAAATCTTTGAGGAACTGGAAACACCAAACCTTAAAAGCCATCTTTTGAGTAGAGCCATCATTTGAGAGCAATTGGAACTTTTAATATGCAGCGTAGAACTTTTATTGAAAATTAAATTACCTATCAAGTTGGCCTTGTTCTTTGAAATTAATTTATAGTGTTGCTGCCTTTTGCTTTGAGACAACTTCATATGGCAAGTGTGTACACTGGAAAACTGTACCACTGCAACAACAAAAAAAGTAATGATTAACTTTAGGCTTTATCGAGTTAAAATCAAACTTTGAATTGAATTATTCTTGTGTGTTGACAACTGAAGATTTATGTCTTCCAGTTATATTCCTGTTGCAGATTTGACAGAAGTGACCTCTCCGAAGAAGGTCTTTGTTAGAGAATTTGCTCTGTTTACATTATTGCCATAAGGGTTGGGATGAAGTACAGTATGTTAAAGCTAATACATCACCTGCTGACAGTGGTCTTATGTCATTGGCAACTATTTCCCTCTCTCAGTACGAAAAAAATGCAAACACCGAAAGTGTAAGGATCACAAAAAGGAAGTTAAATAATAGTTTTCAAGAGCTTTAGCATTCACGTCTGGACCCTGTCTGCACTGTATTTTTGTCTGGCCAAATGGTTTCATAATTTCTTCTTCTGTGAAATTACTGTGAAAATACATCTTTACCAGATAAATGCTACTAAGGGGCAGAGCACAAAAACAAAACAAAAAAAGGCAGAAAAAAAAAGCGCGTTTTGGTTTATCCAAGATTTGTGTGATCTATTGTGAGACCTATTGTGAGAAAGGAGGAGGCTCAGGGTGGGAAGGAGTGACATTCAGGTTGGATAGACAGACAAGAAGGTAGTACCATGAGCTTCTCCAGTGGAAGGATGGTGGGACTCTGGTATGTGGAGCAGGACTTTAGGTACCCTCCTGTTTCTCCCAATGTTTGTCACAGATGCTGCATGCAGAATGGGTCTCACTGTCAGTGAGATGATGCTACTTTATGACTGACTTCTATTCCAAATATTTGATTAAAAAATATAAACACCCAATGATGTATGTAGTTTCAAAATGTGCTTTGAAATCTCTCAACAGAGTGCTTCCCAGGCATCCTTTCAGGATGGGGAGATGAACCTCACTGGACCCACAGAACTGTTGTTGGCTCAGAGGGCCCGACTCCCTGTCAGGTAGGAACATCTTCTGTTTGGTGCTGACCTAAGTGTGATTTATCAACATGCAAGACAAGACTGACTTCTCATTCCAACTGCACTTCTGAATCTTCATGGTGTTTCCCACTGTCCTGGCCTCTTCCTCCTCCTCCCTCACCATCCTTTGATTTTATATACTGAAGCACATATTTGTGCATGACAGACTTTTACCCTTGTTGATGAATATGAAATTTTTTTTTGTGCTGTATGTAATGTAAGGGTAGGGGAGAAATAATACAACTATTGTATACTTCCTTTTTGATTTCTACTCAGTCCTGCAGGTATTTCATGTCTTAAGATAGAGACTGTTCTTAGGTCGTGTATTATATCTCAGTAAATAACCATTCACTGAACCATATAGTCCTAAAATTATCTTCTTTGGTTTAAGTGTCACCTCTGGTTTTGAGTGGTTATTACTTTCTATATCCTGTAGTAGATTTTTATCTCTGTGTTTATACACTGTGAAAACCACAGCAAATATTTGCAATATTTCCCAGTGCATGGCTTCACTGGAGTAGTCAGATGGAATACATCCTTTTCTTCTCTTCATTTATAACCGATAGAGATGGCCAGTTCTACTATTTCTGAAGGTGGTGGTGGTCCCATTGACAGTTTGAGAAATAACTTTAATTTTAACCTTTCTAAATTTTGAGTGAAACTTAGGTAAATCTGTAATCTGCATTGGAAGCAAATACAGTAAAACTTGAGAGCTGCATAGCTGAAACAAGAGGAGAGGAAATTAGGTGATTTGAAGAGTTTTAATAATGAGCAACAGTGTTTATTGTTCCTGGAATCCCAGGGAAAATTCTAAATGTCTGAAAGGAAATTGAAAAGTAATGATTTTGCAGATTGCATTTATTACACCAAGTTAACAGACCAGACTGCAATACAGTGTCACAGAGTAGGTCAGTCAGGTCCTCAGTGGTGGCATTAGAGGACTTGACCTGGTGAATGTAGAGCAAAATGTTTCCATGCTGCTCTTTTCCTGTCTCACTGTAAGCTGAAATTTCAGTTTTGACTGGTGATTCAGGTTGTGCGAAACCCACCTTTTTGAGTAGGTAAAGGAATTCAGTCCTTTGTCCAGTATGTTGTGTTTGTTGCAGAACTGTAGGGGTATGTATAGCACATGGTATAATGAAATTAAGATGTGTTACATGGCAAACTTCTGTGTGACAGCTAAAATGTGACAAATTACTCTGGTTTGATTTCGGTGATAGCAAATAATCCTTTGCTGTGATTCTGCACCTTATAGTTGTTTGTCAAAACGGTATAAAATAAACCCCGTGAAATAAGCAGTACCTGCATGCTGAGAGCATTTGTTCTCACAAACACCTGAGAAAAAAGAGGTGTTAATATTCCCATTTTACCTACCTGAGGGCTGGGAAAGAGGCAGGAATATATAACCAAAGCCTGTGGGGAAGTTTGCAAGAGCAGGGTTTTGAACCTTGCTGGTCTCCTGGGCCATGCCAGGATTTGGATGGAAGGATCACCTTTTCTTTTAGAACATATCAAAAATCAGTCTTTTCCATGCAAGGGAGATAATTTCTAGTTTTTCTTGTCCTTTGTGTCATAATTTCATTTATTTTCTAGGAGATTTTATCATTTTGGTACAGTTGTGTTTTTCAACTCACTCTGTCTGGTTTTTTTCCTCCCTTTTGGAGGCCTCCTTGTCACCTAGTGCATTTTGCAATTTCTTCTCTTGCCTGCTAATACTGGTACATATTTTTAGAATGGTCTCATTAGGAAAAAGAACTGGAGTGCTCTTCCAGCTTTCTCTGCACCTGCCGGGCCTCTGAGTTACACGCCAGCTGATTAGTGTTCATCATGCAGGTATAGAACTTAGTTTAGTTGCTAATGCTTATTTTCTCTTTAAGGAATGTTGCTGAAGACTTCTGCAGCTTGTTTCACCTGAGATAATTATTATGCATCACCAAATATATGCACTCATTTGTCTCTCGATTCGTTAATTTGTAATGGGGATTAATCAAGCTCAGTGCACACTATGCTCATGTTTACTGTTGTCCTTATGCCTTTACTAGGGCGGTTTAGACTCTCTGAGTCCTCTTAGGCATTTTCTGAGAGCATATTATTGTTTATTGAGTTAAACAATTAATTGCTTGCATTTGGCATTCTTCAGAAGAAGGTTGTGATAGTCGTTTGCTTTTAATCTTCACAATTCAGTGGCCATTGGAAATGCTGACAATGAGAAAAACCCCTGTGCTGCTTTTCAGAGTTATTCAGTTTTCTGAAATGACCAAGTCTTCTCTGACATTGTGAAAAAACAGTCAATAATAAGCCTAAATTTCTGTAGCTCTCTCACAATTTCTGCTGAATTCTACAAACTGTCTTGAAGTGTAAAGTGGTAAAGAATTATTTTGCAAAGCAAAGTTAGTTCATATTTCTGTGGAATTCACTGGAATTATAAAAGTTGATTTTGAATTTGATTCTTGTTTAGCTTTTTTCTTCTAAGTGAAGTCTTTTAAACTGTTTTTCCAAAAGTGTTTTCATTAGGAGTAATAGGTTTTTAAAGAAAAATAGTAAGTCACTAGAGACCATCTATCTTACTGTTATTTAATTTGATTGAATGTAAGTAAAGAAGGTTTTATTAATAAAATAATATTAAATAAGAAAACTATTTTTGTCAGCAAGTAGTAAAACTAGCATCTTAGTATCTAATTTGAGTCCTTTTACACTGTTTATTCTGAAAGAAAGTGTTACTTATAATTCTGATTTATTCAGGTATCTTTCTTGTTGTATTTCAAAGATGTTAGGGCCATGAAGGACCACCAAGTCAAGATATCTTAAACCTTCATTTAAATATGCCATTTAAATAAACCATATTCAGTGATGTTAATAAATCTGATACTTCAGCCTAATTGTGAGCTACTTCATGCTATGGAAGCTTTTCCATGCTAGAGAAGAAAGAAAACCAGTATTGTCTCTGCTGCTTTCATTGGAAAATTCCTGCCACTGAGTTTGGTAATCTTGAAGGTCTTATAGCACTTAAGCAAAATAGCAGCTCATCAGCTAAAAAAATTGATCTGAGCACCAGCCTGTCTGAGGTCAGAGTTCCTTCTCTAACCACAGCCAATAAATGGGTATTTCAGAGGGAAGCATAAAAAAAAGAATACCATGATTAATATTTCATGATCATGAAACCCAGACAGTTGAATTTAAAGGCTCCATACTTGGGTTGTTTTATACTTCTCACTCAGGTAGGAAAACTCTTCCATTTGAAGAACATCAGTTCACTGATTTAAGAAGGTGAAATGAGTTGCACGTTGGGTAAACCAGTGGCCGTAGGGAGGATTTTTAGCTCCTCCACTCAGAGGCTAGTGGGAAGTGTTGCCTGGATCCTCTTGAAACATTTCACTGGAGAAGTACTGGGAGTCTTTTCAGGACTGTATCCCTCAGGAGTCTAAAAATTTTAATTTGACATTTTGAGAGTTGAACTTTGCTATAGGAGAGACTCGAAACATTGGGTCATTGGGACATTTTTTAATGGAATAAATAATGAAAATCCTCTTGTAAATTCCAGAGGTGGCTTTTTTAAAAATTATTTTGTTTATTTGCTGGTAAAGATAATGTTCAGGGTAAAAGAAGCCAAGCTAATGCCATCAGTGTATAAAATTTGGTATTTCTCCTTGCTTCCTTTCGTGCTCTCTACTAGATTTCAAAGATTTTTAGAGAACAGGATCTTGATACTCTATAGATTGTCAGGTAGATATTTGTCACAACCTTTAACACTGAGTTCCTTCACACACTGTACATTGAAATACTGGGTTTGAAAGCCTTGCTTTTTTTAGTAAAAATGACAGTGTTAAGAAACAGTAAACATGAATCTGCTTGGAAGTGGATGTTTAGCTTAATAGCGGTGGATTAGCTGGAACTCAAAGGGTAATTTATGCATAGATAATTCATTATGTGTTTTCATTATGTTCTGTTTTGCTGTCTTCCCACTTCTTTTTAGCAGAGGTCAGGGTCAGTTCCTTGGTTTAAGCACTGTAGATACATAATTAAAGCGTAGCTGCAGAATTTTTTTCCTTCTCTGTATTTTCCTTCTTTAACCTACTGTGTCTTTCATTAGTGTAACAACAGAGAATTGGAACAACTTGATTTAAAGGCAAAAAAGACACAAACCTCTGGTGCCTGCAGGCTGTCTGGTTTCTCTCCAAACTTTTCGACAGTTAATCGTGTGAGAACTAACTAATGTTAGTGTGAAAAAAAAATCGGGATTAACACATTTTAGTTTGGAGAAGGTGGTTTGTTTCCTCTTTAAACTGAAGCTGGAAGATTCTGACCTTATTTCATAGTAAATATTTGAACTTTGTGGTTTGTTTAGTTAAGTAGAATGGAACAGCTGAAGCTTGCCTGTCTCTTGTAAAAGAGTGAGCAGTTTCCTTAACTATGCCTGGAAATCATCCTTGACTTTCACCTTCAGCTGCCTTCTCCTCTCCCTGCAGGGTACTCTCCATCCCTGTTTGTTGTTTGGATTTTCATTATATGAGTATGTCCACACTATATCTGGAATTCCAGTTTCTTCTTCAGGGCTTTCAACAGACCTTTAGGTACCTAGTTGAAAAGATGGAAGGAAAAATGTGGAAAAGGGGTAGGAGCTGGGTGGGAAGTGTGCTATGACAACTTCAGTTTTGCTGACTACTCTGGAAGAATGGGTACAAATATTTTATTACCAACAGTAACTGTACTGGCTTAGTCTGAGAAAAAAGTACATGCACAGAGTCACCACCCTCTTTATTTGGATCAATTTGTGGATGCTTCCTTGTTAAAGTCCCCTTTGGGAACTTGACGTCACCTGTAGGCCTGTGCTCTCTGCCAAATGTCAACACCTTTTGTTGATGGATTCTCTGCTGGAATTGGCTGGTGGGGCTGGAGGCACAGTGTAAAACAAGCAAGGAGATGCAGCTTAATAACTTCATCTGTGAACTTTCTACATTTCAGTAACATTTATTTTGCCTTTTACTTGGCTGTGGTCAATAAAACACCACAAAGCATGTTCAGAACATCAGCTGTGCTATTCTGTTTGCGAGGGAAACATTGACATCCTGCACTAAGAGATTTTTTTCAGATATGGCATCTTACTTAATCGGTACCTTTTCTTAAACACACATGAGAAAGTGTTGAGTAAAATTGCAAAGGAAAATGCCACTGGAATGATAAATACTTGATCTGTGTTTGCTCAGGCAGTAGATTCTTGTGACATACACGCGATGACAAGTTTTGCCCACTAACCCATGCAGAAAGGTTTTCCAAGGTACTGTCTTCAGTGTGTTGCAAAACAATTAATCTACTTTAGGCTGTGTCTGCTGCATTCTCCAAGAGAAATGCTACCAAGATTCTCCTAGAATTTTTAACTGAGGAAGGTCAAAGAACCTTAGTGAACCGGGCCCTGCTGCAAAACTCCAGAACATTTATTTCTGGAAGGAGTTCCCTTTTAAGCATCTGACTTCTCAGTGGCTGGGATCAGTTCATCAGTGTTGTTGGGTAGTTTGCAGAGAAGATTTCAGCTGACAGATCTTTTTCTACTGCAAAACTGACGAAGTGCTAATTTTTGATACAGATTTCAGGAGAGGGAGCTATAGTATTTGACAGCGAGGACACTGCCAACCTGAGGATCAGATTGATTCACCACTAAACATGCACCGCTGAATGTGCAGCACTCCATTGAAATTTTTCTTTCCATATTTCCAGTGCTGAGCATGCTCACTACACACACATATGCCTTCTCTCTTTCTCTTTGCTAAACAGCGCTCATCAACATTTTTAATAGTATGCATGGCAAGCCTTCCTGAAAAATGTGATAGACGGTAAAGAATCTGTCAGAAATCAATAACATCAAGCAATGAAGAATTTGAATAGTAAATGATGACAGCTCCCTCAGGTTAAAAATCAATAGTACAGTGTAGAGTGTGCTCTTGGATCAGGTCATGCTGGGCAGATGTTTTCTCTTCAGGGAGACCTCTGAGGCACGGTCGGGGCAGCGAGGGAAGGGAGGTGCCAGCGAGCATTTGAAGGAGCCTGAGCGCTGTGTTTGTGGTTGGGGTGAACCCTGCAGTTCTGATAAATTTCACCCACATAAATGCTCTTTAAAAGTTCACTTATTTTGGCTGCTGTAAGAATATATCTGTATGTGTTCCGCAGAGGTTGAGTTCCAAACTCAGCAAGGACAGTCTTCTCTGAGGTAGGAGCTCTGTCTGCCCCTTGAAGAACATGCAGGAGACACAAACAGTGACACACTGAGGCACCCTCTGTGAATTGCTCACCGGTGCTTCCAGCCTCTCATCCCCATCTAGCAATTGGACTCCATGACTTTTACACTGACCAGATAGGCCAAATTTGTGTTTTCTTTTACTGCAAAAGACATTTAAATCTGTAGGGGAGATTTAAAATAGGAGTAAGTCATTAGTGGGTTACTAACTTCTGGATTTAATTTTTTTCCTATTTTAGGGGTTGTTTGCTTTTTAAAAGCTTTGAATATAGCAGAAAATCTATAAATTACCTTCTGTTGTCAATATCACAGCTATCAACCTGCAGTGGAAAGCAATTCTGCGTTCTCCTGCTCCATTTTTAAATTTTTTTTTCAATTTGGTCAAACTGAACAGTCCGAGCATCTTTTTGTCCCTTGTGCCTGTGGAGTTTAGTAATTAGTATTCTTAAGGCTTATCCTATTTAGGATTTCATTCAGGTATGCCCTATTCCTGAATACTTTCTCCAGCGTAGTATAAACTGTAAGCCATATTGGAATAGTACACTGGTGAGTTCAGCTGTTCTTGTGGGCAGATAAAACCTGCCCAGGGAGGGACAGAATGAGTGAATGATACCAAATTTGTCTGAATTTTTAATCTTTGAAGTTGCTAAACAAATAAAATACAAACCAAGTCCCAGATGTCCCGGGTTTTAAATTTTTAACTGTCATGCTTTCATAGGTATATTATAAAAATAACATGTCCTCAAAGATTCTTGAAAGTTGGTTTGAAGGGAAGTTTTCTTCTCACATGTAGTTAAGAATCACATTTGAGAAAGAGAAGTCTTTAGATTCATAGATTTTTGATTGAAATTATAATTCCAAAGTACCCTTTTTAATATACGTGTACAGAGTGTCTTGTTCTGTGTATTTAGAACATCCATAAGTTTTAGGATGTACCCCAGTGTTTAAAAGTAATACGCGATGTACATGTGGGCTGTTGGTTTACACAAAGAAGCCTATTTTTCTTAGTGTGTAGATTTCATGTCAGATTTACGAATACGCTTGTGTGTTTCCTTTGGCTTTGAGCCTACTTATAACTGTAAATGCCTTGATGTAATATGACAGTGAACCTGTCTGTCGTGATAGCCCTCAAAAAACTTCTTGCTCTGCTTCACAGTTGTTCAGGAAGACAACTCTTCCCTGAAGTACTTAAGCAACGTGCAGGGTTATCCAGGGACAACTGTAACTTATTTAAATTTGCCCTGTGCAAATGAAAGGCCATTCACTACTTCTGATTGTCTTCTGGATCTATAGGGTTTAACTACTTATTTTACTTATGGGTTTTGATTCTGTGGAAGTTCAAAAGACAATAAAAGTGCCCTTTAATTATCTTTCTTTGTGTATTAAGAGAATTGGAGGAAGTAGAAGATGGAACTGAAAGAGGAGTTAATTTCCTATGAATTCATTGTTAAGGTTTTTGGTAACCACCCTGATTAGCTTTTCTGACTAGTTTCCCTAGAAAAAAGTATATGTGAAAAAACTTAGAGGAAGATTTTGTCAGGATTTCCCAATTTGATTAATGAGGAGGGGCAATACAGGAAAGAAAAAAATCTGGAAATGCCTTTCAATGGTACCTGTGTTATAAATGCATGAGTATGTAAACCTGTTACATTGGGATCAGTGGTGGTTTGTTGCTCAGGGTCCTTCTATTTCATTTTTACAGAACATAAATTCATTACAGCGTCGGCCTTTTTGGAAGAGTAGTTTACAAAAAAACAAACCTCCCCAAAACTCTTTCATTTGCAGGAAATGTGCTCCTTGTGAGAGGACTTAGCTGTGCTACGAGTTTTTGTGTTGTATCTGATGTGGTGTAACTGTGTGTTGGCACTTCAAGGGTGGTCACAGAGTCTTTCCTTATACTGATGCATTTTTGCTGATTCTTGCATCATATCAAATGATCATAAGACCGTGGGTCAGCAAAAACAGTCAACTGATCCCAGAGGAAGTTGTTGTACTAGGGAAAAATATTTTGAGGGGGAAGGGCAGGGTGGTGTGGAAACATCAGCTTGGTCATCTTACTCTGCAAACAGGTGCCCTCTAGATCTGTTGTACGGTTTTTGGAGGAAGGTCAGAAGTATTTTCCCTGCTGTCAGCCTGCACTTGAATCAAGCCTTTAACTCATGGCAGTGTATGAAGTGGCTATTTGGTTCAGCTTCACATGCTCTGTCAGCGCTGTAGGATTGGTGTGCGCATTGTGAGCTTGTAGTGTCAGAGTGCTCTGATGCGAGTGGAAATACTCACTGGCTGTCCGCTGGCCACTGGTCCTGCTGGTGGTGTTCAGTAGGATTTGAGGGTAGGAGGTGTTACAGAAGATGTACACTAGTGTAGAGAGAAGGAACGTGATCTGTTGAAATACAGATGCTACTAATTTTTTTTTTTTTTTTTTTTGAATGTTCTAACTAATTGAAGTACCTTCCTTTTCAAATGAGAATCACCCAGAATAGAGATAAGGTCACTGTGCTCAATAGGAAATGAAACAGCAAAAATCTGTCAGAGACAGTATAGAGGGGTTTGATAATGGTGTTTGAGGAAGGAAACTTCTTGATAAAATGAGCTGAGTTGCACTTTTGATTACAATTTGTTTTGTTCTTTGTTTGTCAGGGAGGCTGTATGCAGCTGAGGGCAGAAATCAAGATATTTAAATATGATTTAACTAATTTGCTTATAGGCTTGATGTCCTTAACGTGTGATCTTCATGTTTATAATGTGGCCACATGGGGAAATGGACTGAAGCAGCTAATGTGGAGCATAAATTAAGGACATGTAAAATAACCTCTCCCCCCTTTCTTTTTTTTTGATGATGAAGTCTCTCTTCACTTGAAAGCTTATTCTTTAATATTCTAATTAATTTATTTGGGAGTTAATTTAGGAAAATATCTAGTAACTGATTTCTTTCCCTTTTAAAATACAAAAAAGCTAATGTTAAAAAAAAATTAAAGAATTACAGAACTGTTTTACTTTTCATCATATTTTTATATATTAGTGAGCTCTGAGTTCTACCCTTTCCACCCTCTGATCAATCAGGAACTTGTTTTTAACATAGAGAATTCTGTGAATAAGCATATGAGATGTGCTTCTCTGTGCTCTTTTTTAGTGAAATGACAAAAATCGTGGAGATTTCTGGGGAAGGTGGACCCTTGGGAATACATGTAGTGCCCTTCTTTTCATCCTTGAGTGGGAGGTAAGATATTTTCTGCATTGCTCGAGAAGTATATTAATGAAAGGATTTTATCTGTGCTTGTCATCAAATACCTACTTTTTAATTTAAGGGAAACAAATACTTAAAAGAGAATTGGTCTATGACTGTTGTTTTCTGTTACTGAAATATTAACTAGCCTGAGTTCTGTGTTAGGAAAACCCAGAGTCACGTAAGTTGGAGAAGATCTCCAAGGTAATTGAGTTCGACCTTTGACTGATCTCCACCTTGTCAACTAAACCATAGCACCAAGTGCCACGTCCAGTTGTTTCAGTCTATACCAACCTCTTTGTTCATGTATGTCCTTTTAATTGTCTCTGTTTTTATTCTCTGAGTGGTAAGCCAGACTGCAGTTTTGTGTGGTGTTTAGTTGGGTTTGGTTGTGCTGCTGGTTTTTTGTTTGTTTGTTCCAATTTATTGTTTGTTTCGTTTGCGTTTTCCCAGTCAGATGTCGCTGCATAGGTCCTTCCTAAGGGATGTATCAGACAAGAAAAATCAAAAAAACTGTTTGCCTGTTCATGTCTCATATTTTTCAAGCCATCTCTCAGATTTGGTTGTATAGCACTTATAAAATGTGCACTATGCCATGAACTTTTCTTTGTCACAATGCGATTACTTTAATTATAAATGATTTAACGTAGTCCGTTGGGATCACAAAAGCCCATTATAGCAGCATGCTCATATTGATGTGCTGTAGTTAAGGCTGCCTCAGCATTTTCATCATAACTGTTTTCAAGCTACATAACTCAGATGTGTTTAAAAAAAAAAAAAAATCTAGTCTGAAATTTTACATTCAGAGGCTTAGCCAGAGAGTTAATTGGACCCTGGCAGCCATGAATAAGAGATGGGAAATGGCTAGAGCCATAAATGACTCTATAGTAAAATGGCTGCCTGTAACACAAAGACAATTATTACAAAAGTAAAATTTGTCTAATTTTTAAATGTTTCTTTACTTGTCAACTTCCATGTAGGACAGAGAACGTGAAGGATTGAATTACCTTGTAAAGGTCTGTGTGCATAAATGTTTTCCTGGCAAGATCTGAGTCTGTAAGTGGACCCAAATCAATTAAGATTGTTTTATTTACCAAAAGGGAAAATAGATGACCACCTGCTGCCTGTAAAAATGTCATCACTTTCTCAAGAAGAAAGTTGGTCTTCGATGGGAACTGTAGGAGGTCCGAATTGTGTCCTTAGCTATGCAGGCTGCCTGTTTGTCTTGAAAGAGCCACTTATGTTTTTTACCCCGCTATGAAATGCAGATTTTATATAGGCATGCCATGAAGGCTGTAGTGTGTACACTGTATTTCAAGATCATACATTAAAAAAAAGTGATGAAATTGCAAGCTATTAAAATCAGTAATTATTGTGACTGAAATACAGTTCTGTACTCAAGTATCACTGTGTTGAGTGCAGCCTTTAAAGCCATGAAGAAGTGACATTCCTTGGTCTAAACTGCATGCATGTTAATATGTCCTATTTACAATTGCTTTTGGGGATCCCTTGGAGCAGGAGAGTCTTCGAGAGATTAACTACTTGTTATTTAGACAGTTGTCTAGAAATTTTAATGACCCTTGGCAGAACCCTACTGATACCTTTGGTAAAGCACTGGAGTAACTTAAATCACTTGATCCTTTTATTTAATCAAGCCCAAGACTCGTGTATAAACTGTAACTCATCATAACATGAGAAAGTACAGGAGAGCATCTTTTGTTTCTGTTAATAAAATGATAGAATTTATAGTGACGTGCTGGCCATGACTAACTTGGTCTGGTATTTCAATTGTAAAGTTGTCTTCTAATAAGGTAATGCTGACTTTAGCCTGGTGCTGCCACAGGCCAATGTTTTTTTAAGAGGTCATTAAAAAACTATACTAATTTACAAAATCCTAGTGTTTACAGAACTACAAAAATAACAGAAATAATTCCCCTCCCTTTCTTTTGCACTTAAATATCATGAAAAAAAGGAAATTGAAATTTAATAGTGCATTAAAACAGTGCTAAAATTGAGGCTGTGGAAAAAAGTAATGGAGGAATGAATTTAGGCTGCCACAGCACACATAACTGAAGCTACTCAGTACAGCACACACAACAAGTTTCAGATAAGTGGGCAGTCCTATTGCACTGTATGGATCCAGCATCTAAGCACATAGGATTAGTGAGCAACCAGCTTAATTTGTGATTTCTTTTACTTCTCTACTTTTACCGGTTTGCATCTTAACATAATTATACTTCGTTAGTTCTTAGGATTTAGATTTTTGATTGTCACTAGTTGGATGTCATCAAAAGAGCTGAGGCTCCTCACCACTGTCCTTTCGAGTCCTTAGATGAAGGATAACACGGCTTGCAAGAGAATCTTTATGCTATTAAAACACTTTTTTTTCTGTTAGATATTTTGAAGAAGTAATAGTCACTTGGAACCAAGGTTTCACTTAGTAATTGATAGGGCACAAGCATAAATTTTTCAATCTTATTATTCAATAAACCTAAAATCAGATGCACAGTGAATAAAGTGTCATTTGAAATAGTTAATGGCACGCTGCAAATCTGTTGAATGGACTTACATATATGAGGGGCAGTCATGAAGCTGAGACAAAAATACAAGACTTCTGTCTTGAGATTGGAGTGCTGGCACCTTGAAAATTGCACATTAATATTTTATGGAGTCTAACCAACAGAAAATGGTCTCTAAAGGTCATCTGCCTTTGATGCTGATGTGGTATGGAAATTTAGTGGACAAAGATTGATTATAAAAGTTCTTCACAAACACATAGTTGTCAGGGTTTTTTGGGCAATGTACTGGTATCATTGGGTATATCTGTGTTGAATTATAGTTTGCTATACAGAGATGCTCCAGCTAGGTCAGGATTAGCCTGGCGCTCCCAGCTGTTATCAACACTGGGATTTTGCACCACCCACACATGTTCACTACCTGCATTATTCTGTGTTCACTTGCACTTAGCCTGTTAACAAACAACCTGGGTTTTAAAATTCTGCTGCTGTCCTGCCGCATGAGTCTGTAGTATCACTGTCTTGTATCAAAGCAAGGGGCTTTGGCAACTAAAAAGTTTCACAAACTTTTCAGGAGCAGAAATGTCAGTTGTTTTTTATCTTATTGTAATGCCTGTTTATTTTATTATAGTTAAGGTAGAAAATTACTTTTAATCTGTTTATACTTTTCTTTGGAGCAATGTAATCTTACTAAGTGGCAGAAAAATATTGCATAAGCTACACTGAAATTTTTAACTGTAGTGGAAATATAGGTGTTTTCCTCTGTTTTCTCCAAGTATGACCTACAGAAGTTGATGCTTCTGAAGTTCTAGCAAGTGGTATAGCATTAGTGTCCAGCAATTTTTCTTGTGTTTCTTTTTTAGTTAATAAATAAGCTGGAAATCCTTTCTCTAGGTTAAGCACTTCATAACCGTCTACTCTGTCATCTCCTACACAGAGATGAATATCTATGTTTACTTGCTATAAGTTCGTATCAGCACAATAAGGATAGTTTTCACCTTTTAGGATGCTGGGACTCTTCATCCGTGGTATTGAAGAAAACAGCAGATCCAGGCGTGATGGTCTTTTCCATGAAAATGAATGCATTGTGAAGATCAACCACACGGACCTTACAGATAAAACCTTTGCACAGTAAGTGCTGCTTTACTGATACTTTTAACTACCCAGGATTTTATACAGTGCTGTGTTTAAGTGATTCTTAAAGGGATTAATACTTATTTCTGAGAAAATACCTGTAGAATTGATATGTGGCAGAAACATTGCAATTTTCTTTCTGAAACCTCCAAATAAAGTGAAGTTTGAGGACACACATCTTCTTGTAGTTTTAGTGAACTTACTGGGCTTCCTTAATTTGAGTAGCATTAGGTTTTGTAATCAGTATCTTCACTTTCCAGTGCTTCTGTTATTTTTACCCTATTTTCCTTGTAATTTTTCCCTTGTAAGACCTTATGAATGAGTCAACTTCACAGCATGGTTTTTAACATTCTTTTGCAAATGAAATAAGATTTTTTTTTGTACTGCAGCTATTTGAGCATTTAATTTTTTTTATAAATACTAATACTGTCAAACTGTGATTAGTTGAGCTAAATGGTAGGTCTCACTTCTTATGACTTTTATTAAAAGTCTGTTGACATTTATTATCTATTTCAAATGTTTTTTTAAGTAACGGGTTGTTTTGATCGTCTGTCAATTAATGTGACATAGTTACACAAAAGAATAGCCTCTCAAATATCACAGATATTTGCTGTAGTAATTAAATAGTAATTTGTTTTTGCTTTTAATCCATATGTTTAGACAGCTGAGTGATTGTTTATAATATAACAAAAACCTATTGAGATGTCAAGGGAGTCAAAGCTTAACTTTCTAAACAGTAAGCCAAATGTTCGAGACTTCCAGACTAAAATCAAATACGTAATTTCACAGTTAGGGATAAACATTTGCAAAATAGGTTCTCATGAAAGTGGCGTAGTTCTGTAGCATAGGTATTCCTGTTTCTGAAACTGTTCTTTTTGCCTTCTGATAGCTTTTCAGTTACAGCTTGCTGCTCATTTGGTGGTAAAGGCATTGTACTGTTATACAGTACAACACGCCATTCTCTTCCATCCACGGAAATTCTTACCCAAGGTATCAACTTTATCAGAACATAATTGTTGATATCTTATTAAAACATTCGTTTCCTTGCCTGTGCAGTTCTGTAATGAAATTTCTCAAATGAGATTTTGACTGAATCAAAACCTCGCTTCCAAAAATAGTATGTGATCTTTTCTTTACAAATGTATTTTCTTCTTTTTGCTTTCTTCTCAATGTAACTAATCTTCAGAGGCTTTGACTCCACAAGATGTTTGTGGAGTGAAGGACTGCATATTCTTCTGTAAGATTACTACGTTTTGGGGCAGTTAGAAATAATGCAGTAAACTTTCCACTTCTCTTTCAGGCTTTTCTTCAAAATGAGAAATGCAGGACACTTGGCTTTCTCCCAGCTTGTGTAAAGATTTGGGACTTGGAAGAAATACTGACCATGAGAGCTAGCTCAGAGAGACCAGTCTCGTTAGACAATCTCTCTGTCAATGGGAGAGGGAAAAGTGACTTAAAAGTGATTCAGAGCAGAGCCTAATTTAGGTGGTCTAGGTCTCCTTATGTTACAAAATCAAATAGTGTGGTTGCAGTGGCCTTGGATCTGAGGAAAAAAACTGTGGGTAGTGAGGACTCAGCATCTGTCTGGGAACTGGGGGGAATATTTTGGATGAGCTCTAGCCTATTTCCAAGTCTTACAGTGTTCTGCTGAATTGTCTTCCATGCCAGCCTTCTGCATCATCTCTCTTCCCTGACTGTGAATGGCTAAAAAAAAATCTGCTTTTCAGGTTGAAAGTAATCTCAGTGAATATGCCTTCTTAGTTTTCATCTGGCATGACATAACATGACAGAAGTCCAAGTTACAGAAATGCAGTAATTGTAAAAGATGTGACAAAGTATTGTCCCAATGACTTTTGACCCAGAAATAGAAATCAGATTCTCCTTTGAGAGGGAAATCAGTTGGCTAGTTTCTAATTGACATTTCTGCATAACCCTTGTAAAAGCTGTTTTAGCACTTAGCAGAGACGGCTACATGCTGTCTCTTCTAGTTTTCAGCAGAGACTTTCTGGTGTTGCTCCTGATGATTGCTGCTTCTGCAGCTGTAACAGCAGCAGCCCACTTTCTGTATTCCCATGTTTATAATAGTTATATACTGGGACTGTTGGTCTGCTTTTTCATTTGCTGCTAATCTATTCAATTACATTCTGTTGTGTTGCAGAGTTTCTAGCACCTCTTTTAACTGATTCCCTTATTCCTTTAAAGTATGCATTTGGGGTCTCAAGAAATGTAAATTTCTCCATTCATTATTTTTTCTCTTTGAAGTGCAGCCAGTTATTTTGCCCCTGAAGACTGCATTTAGGCTTTCCCATAGGATGTCTTGAGTTATTTCCACTATTTTTTGTTTGAAGGAGATCTTATATTTTCTCTTGCATGTATTTTAAATATTAATCTTTTGAAACTGAGTTATTAAATTACGTTGTAACATATGACCAAGTGGCTACTTGCAAGGATGAAGATGGGGTGTGAAAGAAATCTACTGCAAGATTTTGCATGCCAGGGTTTCTACTATCAGGGTAAGGGCTGTCCTTGGAAACTTTCATGGGTTATATGTGAACAGATAACCTATAACCTCTGCAGGCACACTGGGGGACAGTGGTATTACAGCTCTGAAACCTGATCCTTGAGGGTGATGCTGAGCGAATACCTTCCTACAACCTTGCTACCTTTCTTTTCCAAGTTTGAGGTTTCTCTCTAGCAGTGTCTCCTGTCAATGAATGTGGTTATTCTGACTCAATGCTTCTACATGGTATGGCCCACATGGTTCTTTCTCACAGCAGTATCCATTGGGACTGACCCCTGACTTCAATGTCTTCATGCTACAGAAAACACTCTTTGAACAACCCCTCCTTTCTGCCACCCAGAGCTTCAAGGTGGAGGCACTGTTGTGGCTCTGTTGATCTGGGAAGGCAGTAGATGTGTTTTCAAGATGTTAACATTTGTGGTGGCTTCCTTTCTGTGTCACTGTACAAAGATGTTTATTGCAGAAGTACTTTCAACATTGACTCCTCTTACATAACTGAGTATAAATTCAAAGCCAAGTGAAATACTGATTTAGACTGACAAGTACACTACAGAAAGGTAGGAGGTAAGTAGAATGTTCTTAGAAGGACCCTATGATTTATTTAAAAATTAATGTAACCATTAGTTCCCCTCTTGACCCAATTCAGCTAAGCAGTTCTTGATTTTTCATTCTTAAAATGTGCTTCAGCTACTACTTCTGTTTGTGCTCACAGAATGGAAGAAAATCTGTCTACTTTAACAGGTAGTAGGAAAGGAAAGCATAGAAAGAGAGAAGTCTCATTTGTTCTTTTGGAACCCAAGGTTCGCAACATGGCCTGATTGACCAAATCTGCAGGTTATTCAAAAGCCAGGGAAGGCTTTGTGAACAGTTCCTTTGGACAACTTGTCTTAATTGCCTTGCAATGCATGGGAACCTGAACACTGTGTTGTTACCATGTTACCAATTTGCAGAAACCACAGATTTGGGTTGGAAGGGACCTTAAAGATCACCTAGTTACAACCCCCCCCCACCAAGGGCAGGGATGCCACCCACTGGATCAGGGCTCCATCCAACCTGGCCTTGAACACTTCCAGGGATGTGGCAGCCACAGCTACTCTGGGCAACCTGTTCCAGTGCCTCAGCATCCTCTGAGTGAAGGGTTTCTTCTGACATCTGATGTAAATTTCTGTCTTTTAGTTTAAAACCGTTCTCCCTTGTCCTATCATTATCCAGCGGAGCAGTTGTATTAAATGCTCTAACACAATTTCTGGTGTTGCAACTGAGCACATCTGTAAAGACAGATTAAGTGAGGTCCACCTATCCACTTAGTAAGAGGTTACTGCTTGAAAGATGGGAGTAATATCTACTTATTTATTTTTCAGTTTATCTAGAAACACACAATTTCACCTTTTTGGTCACAGGATTTTTTTTCTGATTTCTGTGCATCCCATGCCGTCACCCTTTTCTGTTGCACTATTTGCAGTTACAATATTTCTTCAGAAAATGTCCATTTATTCCATACCCTTATCCTTTTTTATTGCTGTGGAATCAGCCAGCAGTTGCATTGGGGATTATGGAGCAATCTGAGGCGCACTAGACTGGACTCAGGGAAATCATGGAGAGCTGAGCTTGCGAGGAGTAGATGTATTCACAAGAACAATTGATCCTAAGTGCTCAGTGTGCCAAGAAGAAAATACGTAACAGACAAGCGTTTGAAAAAAATAGCAAGCTATAACTTCAGCAATCTTTTGATGAGCTTTTGCCATCAGAACTTCCTTTCCTGATGCTCTGAATGAAGAATTGTGTTCATTAGTTTATTCTGGCTGATAAGTTTTCATAGCAGCTTAGGAATTCTGACAGATATGCTGTTCCTACTTGAAATATAAGTAAATGCTGTAGTTTACAAATCTTGTTTTATGTGTACTTTTTAGAAAAGGGACCATTTAGATGTGAAGGTAAGGTAAATTTTTGTCTTATTCTCTGTAAACAACTTCAGGCTTTGCCCAGATTTTCTGATTCGTTATGTGAATTTTCATACCTTTCTTTTAAAGGGCTCAGGACATCTTCCGTCAGGCGATGAAATTTCAAAGTGTTATCTTAGAAGTCCTTCCTCCCTATAACCGAGAGCAATACGAGAAGTCTGCTATCGCTCCCCTTTTTCTGGATAACGAAGAAGGAGTTCCAAAAGCAAAGATACCACCTCCTGTTCATCCAAAACCTGCTCTGAAAACAATTAATCTTTCTGGAGCAAGCAGCTTGGAGGCAGGTGCACAGGCAACGCTGCAACAAGCTAAGAGCCCCACCCTCCCCCGTCTGGGTAGAAAGCCATCTTCTCCCTCACTGTCTCCCCTTATGGGCTTTGGTAATAAAAAAAATGCAAAGAAAATAAAGATAGACCTGAAAAAAGGTAAGTCTTTGGAGATTATATGATTAATTCTGAATTATGTTCCCTATAGTGATACATTAACTTTTAATTCAAGTAGTGATATTAAAAGTATAAGGAAGCTAGTTACCATTTAAAAGTGCCAAAACTTCAAGAAAAGTAAAGGAATGTCAACAGTCATCTTTTGGGATATGGAGATACTGGATATCTAAACAGTCAAATTTGGGATATATGTTATCCAGATTTACTGATTTTTAAGACATTTCTGGAAGCTTTTTCATTAACAACGTGATATTAAGAGATGCTTCAGCCTTTTAAAAAGTAAAGAATAAAAATTTGAACTGTTTGCTGGTGATCTTTGTTATTTTATTCATATTTGATAATTGACCACATCACTGTTTAAACATTCCTTTAAAGATAAAGTATATTCTGCTCTCTTTCTTGTTTTCCAAGAAGTTGACCACAAATTTATCTCTTTCCCCCTTTTATTTTCTGAAAATATTTTAATTTTTTCTTCTGTCATATTTATTCAGCTGTCAAGAGGAGGAATTTTGTGTGTATGCCTTTAATTGCTGCTCCTTGCAGCTGCCTGTCTTTGCATGGAGTAACAGGTTTATGCACATGAACTAAAATGTGCTTAAGCAGATCCCAATTAGCATTTATATTTTCTGTTTAATTTCTGTCTCTGATTTGGCTGAGAGTTAAATTTGATCATAGAAGTGGCCCTTTTAAAAATTGTCTGTAACTTTATTTTTTTAACACATAATGAATGCAATCAAGATCTCATTTCTTAATTTTTGTTATTTCTTAACTCATTTTTACTTCTGAACTCTTCAGCTTTGTGCTAACAAAACCTACTTCAGAATTTCCCCCATTTTAGATCTAATGCTTTTGATTTAGAAACATTAATTTATATTTTTAGAAATTATAGCAATGCGATACTGACATGATGGTATCTTTGAAGATATCTCTGAAAACTTACCACGTGGGTTGTAATACTGCGCAATATAAAAAGATTTTTATGAACCCTGCTATTCCTGGTGATTTTGGTGGCTTATAAGCAATACCTACTAATATTGACTTTAGTTCCTAATTATTTTTTATAACATTTATCTGTTAAAACTTGTAGTTGTTTGCTTCCAAGCAGCAAACAGCTTCACTAACAGAAGCTTTGAAATACCACTTTGTCCTTTCTTAATAGCACGTTGTCAGCAGTTGCATTGAAATCATGTGACATCTTCCCCATTTACCAAGTTTTGGTAAAACCTGTTAGATTATGTTTATGTTCATACATAAACAACTCCGATTGCTCTGATTCTATGAAAAACTATTGACATTAATGCGAAGGTTAATGTTAAATCTAACGAAAAGGCAAACGCTTTAAAAAGAGAGTTCTTCCTTGTTTTGTGTAATTGTGTGCTTACCAAAAGTATTTCCATCTGTAGCTGTTGCAGGAAGGTTTGGACGTAGATGGACTTCTTCTCTAGACCCTGCAGAAAATTGGCTCATGTTTACAGCTTTTTGTTTGCTTTTTTTTTTTTTTAAGAGCTAAGCTGAATGAGTGTCTGTGATGTGTTGCTGACATTGTTTGCGTACTTTTAATGATCATCATTTGCTTGTTGAAATTTATGTTAGGAGTTCTTTATCTGACATTTTAGGTCCAGAAGGACTTGGTTTCACTGTGGTTACCAGAGACTCTTCAGTACATGGTCCTGGTCCAATCTTTGTGAAGAATATTTTACCAAAAGGTGCAGCAGTAAAAGATGGTCGTTTGCAGTCAGGAGACAGAATCCTGGAGGTTAGGATAAAACATCCATTGTATTTGCATTGCTGAATATTGATTGCTAATTTTCTAATAAATCTTTTATTTCCTTATGCATACTATTGATGTAAAGAACTACAATTCTTGTCCTTGGTTTAAAAAAGCCAGTCTTATATTTTCTATGCTGTTTGTCAACAAGTATTTTACACACCTAGTTGGAAAAACGGTTCTTGTCACAAGGATCCAGGGGATGTTTGAACAAGGGGAACCTGATAACATCTTGGTTCTTAAAGCAGATAAATGAATCAGTTTAGGAACAGAACGTGTCTTGCCTCTTCAACCAAGTCCAGAAATCTCCAATTAATATCAAGGTTATTAAGTGCTCATTCTAAGACAATTTCTCTCGAATCAGCCTGTTTAAAATTTTCAGATATCTTGTGAGTTACAATCTCATTATCTAATGGGTTATTTCTACTTACTAACCTCAAAAAGCTCTTAAGGTAAACAGTTTTAATACTTAGGTCTTGTTTCTGCACTTTTCATCTTCAAAGTGCTTTACAAACTAATTAAGCCTCACAAACCCCCTGCAAGGTGGGTAAGTACTATGGAGCTGCTTTAACAGACGGTGAAAATGAGGAGGGAAAGGTTAAGTGATCTGTGCAGGGCCAGAGGGGGAGAGCTGTTGCCAGTTGTTCTTTGCTCTCAGTCACTGACTGACACCTGTGTTAGGTGAGGGGAAAACGATAAAGGCAGTTCATACTCACAGATATGACATCCTCTGTGCTTTTGTGTCTGGTAGGTGAATGGACGGGACATCACTGGCAGGACCCAGGAAGAGCTGGTGGCTATGCTGAGGAGCACAAAGCAAGGGGAAACCGTCTCTTTGATTGTGGCTCGTCAGGATGAGGCCTTTCTACCTCGAGAGCTGGTAAACTTGTTATTCTTTCCCAGAGGTTGATATTGAAACAATTCCATGTTTTACAACTATCCCAAGAAATAGAAATGAACTGTTGTCAGCAGAGAAAGCCAGCAAAGGGTAACCATATAGGCTTTCTTTTTGAGAAGTGTGTATACCTTCATTTGATTTTGAGAGATATTTGATTTTTATCTACTTTAGGTGCAATTTCACACATTCTGAGTTTTCACCCCCAAAAATGACATATTATAAGCATAACTCCCAGGGGAATACTGTAAATTAATTTTGTAAGTGTGAGGTCAAGCATAACTGAAAATGGATTATTCTCTTTCAGAAAAGCAACAAACTTTAAACCAGAAATTCAGAGCACATGTAGTGAGTCTTGCAGCTTAAGAGTAACCAACTAGTAAGGGTGGCTGCCCCTAGGAGATGTCTCCTAAGCCAGGTGCCCAGCTGCAGGAGTGGTGAGGAATAGAATTCCATTTCACCCCTCATGAATTTTGGAAGCAAGATTTTCTTTGGCTGTTAGTCTTTGTCTTAACAGGCTCTTGCATGTCTGTTTCATCTCAAGTGCTTAATTTTCACTTTTTTTTTTATTAACACTGGCATGAAACTGTGTTCTCTTTTCTCTCACATAGACACAGGACTGCATCAGTGTAAAAGTGCTGTCTGATACATACTTGTTTCCCCTCAAACAAGGTCATCCCTTGGTTGTCTCTTCCTTATCTTGATTGATGGCTAAACTTGACCTTTCATTAAGAAGTTCTCAGGATAAGGGAAGGACAGCATTTCCTGCTTTTGTCTTATTTTATCTCCTTTAAAGAGCACAAACCGCCTTCATCCTTTTCTTAAGATGCCGCCTTCTTGCTTTTCCTTTGGCTTTAGACTTGTCAGGATCTTCTACAGAAATCCTCCATTATGGTTCCTCAGAAAACACTGCTGACAGTTTTTCTCTTGTTTCCTTGTTACCAGTTGGACCTTGTTGAGGTCAGTGTTGCCTGTGGTAGGATAGAAAGTTGGAGGGGAGTTCGGATTCTCTCATATCAGCCTTTTCTCTTGTGCTGCTGGTGCCCAGTTTTTCCTGAGGTAGAGCAGTTGTGAAGTGTCCCAGAAAAACTGTTTCTGTTTTAATTTTCCTTTTTTATTGTGCAATTTTTTAAGGACTATAATGGAAGTTTTCAGCCTTGTAAGTGGGCATTTTTTAAGGACTATAATGGAAGTTTTCAGCCTTGTAAGTGGGCATTTGTTGGTGGTGATTCCCAAAGCCCCAAAGTCGGTCATTGTATTGCTCTGTTTAGTACACTCAGTGTCTGTGTAGATCAGAGGGAAATTTCTGAATCTTAAAGTACTGAATTATCTATTCTGTTTAGGATTTCTTTTCTTGCACAAGCTCTTCTAAATAAGAGCTTATTTTTTGAAAAGGCTACCCATCAACAGTTTTTTCATGCTGATTTTTTAAGTTATAAAGAAGATTAGTTTGAAAATGTACTTTTTTAAAAAGTGTGTATTCGTCTTTTCCCTCTCCTCTTCCCCCCTAAATTATACATTATTCTGTACTGTCATAGTCCAAATTCTCTTGGAAATTGCTGTAGCAGTGTGGGGGTATAAAAGACTGGAAGAATCTAAAAGCCATTTATAATTTTTACCTGCCACAATTGCCTGCTATTAAATTCCAGTCTCTACAGCAAGGATTAAGTACCTTTCAGAAGGTGATTTACTTATGACTGGCATGATTGAAGTCCAGAAAGTAGCCACATTTATCCTTCTGGCTTGACCTTCGCTTAGATTGCTTTCTTTGTGAAAAAATGATACACAAGTGATGGCCCTCACTGTAGCGGTGATGATATGAGAATTCTAATACTGCTCTTTGTTTCTTGTTATCCCAATCAAGTTCAACATAATACAAATGTTAACTACTGAAATACATTCGATAAATTTATGGACCCAGCCCTTCTAAATTAAAAAGCCCTTCAGCAACATCTGGTAGTTCGCAGCAGAAGTGTGGGTTACCATACCACTAAGCTACCAGATGTTGATGCTAACATGATGCTTGTTAGAATTCATGAGATGTCTGAGAACAGTCTCAGCAAAGATTAAAAAAAAAAAAATTAAAATTGGTTTAGCTTTTTTGTTTGTTTTTAGCTTTAGGCATGATATTACATTGGACTAATCCTCTTCTACCTCAAAAGTTACAGTACTGTTTTGATCGAAGAGGCGAAAAATGCCAGCATTTTAAATGTTTGTTTTTGGAGGGAAAGGCAATGGATAATCCAATGTTTTTCAAGGACAGCTGTAACTCAATGCTCTATGTAATATGCATACAGAATTTACCTGAATATTTGGGGATTTTGTTAATGCCTGGCAATAACAGGGTAATTGCTTTATATCAGACTCTTCTTGCTTTGAGCAGTTGTCCAGGACTGCAATCCGAGATGGTTTCTTCAGACTCCCTGTTACCTGTTGAAAGGAAAAGGAGAAGGACTTAGTAAATGTGCCCATTCCCTACGGCTTCCTGTGGTAACGATGCCTCTTGAAGTTGGACTCATTAGAGGCCATGCACAAACCCACTTTTGACCATGTTGCTCCACTAGAAGTGGGTTTCTGCACGGATTTCTGGATCGAATTTGATAGCTGCGTGGGCACAAAGCAAATAATGTAACAAAGTCACAGTGGGTGGCATTTGGTTGCACGGGTCTGTAATAATATAATTTGAAAGCTGCAGCCTGGAGAAAGCTTGGTCTAATGAATATTTTCTCTTTGGTAAGATAAATGGGAGCAGGGTTTGGGGGTTTTGTTACGGTGATCTATGCTTATGAATTTCTAGCAAGTAGAAAAATACATTCAGAGTAGTAAAGCTTTGCCACAGCAGTGGAGATGTGATATGGGTGAGGATGAATCAGTGTTGCCAACAGGCATTATTAAATTATAAGGAATTGGGGCTTGGGTTACACTAGCCCGTGCAACATCTGAGAGTTATACAGTTACATTGTTTGCACATAACGAGGGAATAAAATTGAAAATCCAATCTATGTAGGGTTGTTAGTCCTTTAAAAAAAAAAAAAAAGGAAAGAAAGAAAAGGAGGATCTAATGAGATTTTTTTATATATACATTGAAGCAGATCAGTGAAGTAGTGTTTGGACCAACCACAGGCTGTCCTCCTTATTATCCAGTTAGCCAAATGTTCCCAGTAATTCATGCCAGCTGTTGACAGTGTAACAGCTAAGTAAGGAGCTAATTCCAAAACTTGGGGGAAGATTTTGATTCACTTAATTACCACAGTCTACAGAGTGGCCAGTGATTAGAGCATTCTTTAAGGTGCATTTGGATTTTAAACTGTGTAAAGGATGGTGAATATTACAGAGAGAAACTGGCTTAGCTGAACAGGTTTAGATTTTCCAGCTTTTCTGGAAGTAAATGGCATGCACATCAAACTGTGGCTATCATTCTGTTGTGTTTTGAAAATACAGTGTTTTGATCATGTGTATTTGTTGCATCGTGGTTTTTCTCTAGGGAAAATGTGTGATCTGAAGGTGCCATTTCTTTTAATAATGATATAAAGATCTCTTATCCCCCCCCCCCCTTCTCTTTCTTTATCCCTGCATTGGTAAAAAAAGAAGAGGTACTTGAATGAGAACAGCTCTGGTGTAACCCGTTCAGTGCCATGACCCTTTGCAATTTTTATTCTATGTGATGCACATAAGCAGAGGAATGTGACTGGTCTGCAATTGCCAGAAAGAGTATAGCACCAAAAACATTTACATGCATTTTCTGTAAGTTAGAGCGCATAACAGTGTAAGTTTTGCATGTGTTTTATTTTTTTGTTTCAAAGATATCTTTGACTTACCAGTTTCAACTGTAATCGCTATTTCTGTGTTTTCTTGGCATATTCACTGATCCTTGAAGAATGTAGGGTGAAAGGGAACAAACCAGCATTTTTACAGCAAAAGCTAAATGAACAACAGTTTATTGAATGTAGCATAGGTCTTTAAGTCTTTGTTACATGTGTGCTCTACAGGATAGAAGGAAGCAGGATGAGTGGCAAGTTCAATCAAGCATTTTTTTTCTACTTACCGTGTGATTAACTTTTATGTTTTAGTCTTCCCCTAGTTAATTCCTTCCACTGCCTTGAACTTACATGCCTGAAGGAAAACCAGTTGGCCTTTTTGTTTCTAATATTCAAAGCTTAATTTCTATTACTTCCTTTTAATTGTTGCTTGCCTCTTTATGTGCAGGAAATAATAAGTGAAATTATAGCCTAGACTTAACCATTTTTACACCTGTTTTTGTAGGTCAAAAATGTGATTCTAGTGCTCAGTTACCCAGAGATGGGCAAACAATTTCAGTCAGAACAGGATTCCAGCAAGTACCAATTCTGTTGTGCTACCTCTATTCAAAGGGAGATGAATTGGATAGGAAAAAAAGAAGTATACATTGGATTTTAATAGCATGTGCAAGATGGAGTTCTTGAATTGTTCTGCATAATGAAGTGAAGGATACACGTGGCACATTTCATTGTGAATAAGTTTGTAAACTGTGAAGATTTTTTTTAAATCCTGAGGTTTTTTCTGAGAGCTTTTGAAGGAAAATTTATTTTTGGACCTGTAGTTTCTCTTCATCTTGAGTCGTTAAGAGTGTAGGCTGTGTCTATATATGAATGAATATTTTTAAAGAGAAAACATTGTAGTGCAGCCCCTCAAAGGTTTTCAGCTTTCATTATATTTCAGAAGATGGTTACTAGTTCATTTCAGCTTAGAGTAGTGGAAATTGTGCATTGAGGTTTGTTGATTAGTTACTACGGTCTTTACAAGAGTCAGTAAGAGATCACGGTTAAGAAGGAACGTGACAATCTTTCCTGTGTGGCACAAAGTGTCCCTTGATCTCTGGTTTTGGTGGGACTCCCTAATTTACCGGAGGGGAATAAATTGCTTGAGTAATTCATGTGTCTTTAAAAAGTGGTCCTTCTTTGGTCTCTCATACGCAGTGAAGTGCCCCTATAGCTACCAGCACAGCG